TCTCCATTTCATTTTAAAATATACTGTTTCTTACAGAAAGACTCATTGTTTTTGCTAATAACACTTAGATGTTGGCGCATGCATCTCTAATCTGTATGTATCTGATTATTAGTAGTCATGGTCAGTTGCACTCGGATCCTTGGCTGTATTTTTTTAAATTCTCACTTCGGGGCTGGAGAGATGGATCAGCAATTAAGGGCACTGACTGCTCTTACAGAGGACCTAGGTTAGAGTCCCAGCACCCACATGGTGGCTATGAACCATCCTTAACTCCAGTTCCAGGGAATCCGAAGCCGTCTTCTAACCTCTGCGGCATTACACAACACGGGTGCACTCACATACATGCAGACAATACACTCATACCCATAAAATAAAAATAAAAAAACTCTCACTCCTGTTCCTTCCTGTCCTACCCCCATTCCAAGAATCCCCCCCCATCCTGTTAAAGTTTTTGTACTCAAACACAGCAAATATGAGTCCATATGTTTGTATTTCTTTTTCCCCTTCTGGGGCAAAACTATTTTAGCCTTTGGATATAGATCTTTTTTTCCAGTTTGATAGTTTTGGTACAACTCTAATCCAGCATCCAGAATTTCTTCATAGAATTAAATCAGAAATTCACTTTCGTAAGTTTCTTCAATAGCATGCTCCCAGATACCTTGGAATAAGATTGACATTTTCTTATTTAAAGCACCTTTCATACCTCATTAGTTTTAGTCCTGAAGATAGAGCTAAGAAAGTGCTCTTCCCTAACATTATGTACTGGTTTTCAGGCAGAAAGATGGCATCACAGATCTTCCTAATTAGTGCAGTGTCACATAACCCCTCCTTTCCTTTTATCACTGCTGACCCACAGAGCCCTTCTGCAGGCCTGAGCCATGCTTCTCAGTATCTGCCTCTTCTGTGTTTTCATCCCAGAGGGTGACATCAGCTCTAATAACACAAGGGTAAATATACTCTCAGTGCACAGAGGACTGGTGGTGACTGAAGAGGAGCGTACTCAACTGATTTGTTCACTTCACAATGTATTCCCTTTTGAAAATTGCTGCAAGATCTAAATCCTGAATTAAAATGCAAATTATAATATGCAAGACATTAAATGTGAAGAAAGAAAAATAGCTTAATCCAAGGACAGCTGACTTTATAGGACTTAGGGGCAATAGCACTCTCTGCTGTTTGGCGGCTGGTTCACCCCCTGTGGGAATTCTGTCAGACTATTTAAGCAGGAGTAAAATGTCATAGAAAAGCCTCTTAGGACAGCAGCAACCTTCCTCAAGAACCATCAACCAGTATCATCCCAGCCAGTGTCATGATGAAATCTGCTTTCTCCTACTAAATGATAAAGTAATAGAAAACCAACATTCGGCCACACAGTATAAACATATTTTAAGTAAGAAAGCTTAGTGACATTTGAGATACTTGAAAGTATCTCCACATGACCACATGTAGCAATCTGACCTCTTTTCATGAACTACAGCATGTAGAAATCTCTATTCAAGGTTGGACTAAGAAAAATAGTTAACATATAACTAAAACAGTGGTGGCATAAGCAAATGAGCATGTGATGAGTTCAGCTCACTTAAATCTTATCACTTGGCCTTACTCAAAAGATTCCTCTCTAGGACAAGGACTGGGACAATTTTAAAAAGTATTGTCCATATTACAAAAACATGTTTGTCTTCTTTTGTTTCCATGGTCACTGTTGGTGATTCTAAATTCTGGCCAGGTATCAGAGTGACAGCTCATTCAGTACTACCAGAGGTCTAAGTGAGCACCTTTAGCCCATAGCAATCATACCTGTTATCTCACAGTGCCTGGCTTCTCCTGAGTCATTCAGCTGTCACCTGTAGTCAGACATATTCTCAGCCACAGGATCAGATTGCTTCGTCACATGACATACAACAAATGACCAAGTTTTAAGCTGTTCTCAGAACTCTCATAAACTCTTAAACTCTTCCTCCCTCCTGCCTACTTCTGTATCCTGGGATATGCTGTTGGCCTTGGTCACTCCATAGAACAATAATACGATTTTTTTTTTCTAGTGTTGAAGAAGAATCCATCCCTGATACATGCTAGACAAGAACTCTACCAATGAGCTACATCCCCAGCCCAACAATAATACATTTTTTAAATAAAATGCTGAAACCAGGATCATGGCAAATACCTATAATCCCAACCTGGGGAGGTAGAAGTTGAAAGTTCAGGAGTTCAAGGCCAGCCTCAGCTACATAGCAAGTTTGAGGCCAGCTGGGTTCTCATAAGACTCTTATCTAATAGAATAAATTAAATACCTGTGTTTTTTAGGCAGGTCGGTCTTGTTGTTGCTGTTTTTGGTGTTTTGAGACAGGGTAATCCCAGATGGACTGTAACTCACTTTGAAGACCAGGCTGGCCTGAATCT